AGAGAACATGACCAGGTATTCTGTGGACTTGATTCCTTTTAGTGGCATTTGAAGGGTATGAACAAGGAATTTGATCGCTGTGTAGTTAATTTTAGTTGTTGATCTTGCTTGTCTTTGTTCAGATTTAAGGCCACCTGCTCACTCAGATATGCAAAGCTCAATAACATTTACTAGAGTGTATGATTACTTGATTCATGTCTGCATCTCCCTTAAGCAGCCATGAAGGAAGAAAACAAGTCAATCTGACACAACATGGCCCTATCTCTTAGTATGAAGGCCTGTGGTCCACATATACCTAGGACAGCTATGAATGAATGAAAACTTGATGAATGAAACCCAACAAAGAGTCATAGACTTACTTAAAATATTATGAGGGTTTTTTTGTAACTGAATTGCATGGGTCTTGAGAATGAACTTCGTCGATGACCAAGTCATGTCCCATTGTCAAAAGGTAGACTATGCCTGGGAACCTGACCCAAGGAGGTTCTCAGTAGGGACATGTTGAGCAAGGAAATGATTTCAAGAAAGTTCTGGCCACTGCCTGAATCTCATTTAAGCCCCCTTGGTTTCCTGGAGCGATCTATGTTATTGTGTGAATCATCTCTAGTAGGATGATTTCCTTTCTATTGACATCTCATCAACGTCTTGGTAGAGTACTAAATTTTCTTTATGGTATAATTCCTGGCACAAGATATTTCCTGCAGAAGGCCAGTCATCATCAGACCTGAGGTTAATTCCGGGGTTCAGAACTTTTGTTCTTAATATAGAATGTGAAAATTCTATAATCAGTGGGAAAAAATGTATGCTAAGTAGATAAAATCTGTCCCACTGTGCCATGACTCTCCAGAGAGAAGAGATAAAACTGCCTGATGCTTCAGTTGAAAAAGAAAATCAGTAACAAAATATTTCCAGTTCCGGAAACCGAACTTCATTCCTGATGTAAATATAGAAGTCTCTAGAGAAGAGGATCATATTTGGAAGAGGGGAGGAACACAAAATAAGTAGAAAGGATTTCATCATTGGCTCCATAGCAAGGAGATAGGCAGAGAAGGCAAGGTTTTAACCACAGTTGTTTTTTGTCAAAAACCCAAGTGTTGGGCTGGGCACGTAGCTCAGTGGTAAAGCACATGTCTGACATGTATGAAGTCCTTACTTAGAGCTCCAGCCCTGCAAAATACAACCACTGAGTATTAGTTAGAGTTTCTTTTCTTTTCTCTTAATTTCCAGAGTACAGCAATCATTAAACCATGGTGGTTCTGTGCTTTATGTCATCCTAGTCCTATCTGTTTCCTCTTCCTGTCCTCTTAGTCCAAGTTGTTCATGTTTTGGCCCCTGAAATGGCCTACTGGAGGTCCTCAATTCCTCTCTGTTCCCTAGATGATATCTGTAAAACATAAACTATATCCCTGCCTACAACATGGAAGGCTCTCAACTGTTTATCAGGATAATAAATGTGTGTTGTGATATGGTCAACAATACAGTGTACATGAAGAAGAGATAGCAGACGGGCAACTCTAGAGATTTGCCTGAGCGGGGACGGGAGGACAGCAGGCAGATCGAAGGGAAAGTCAGGTGGAATAGGTGTGTGTGGAATTGTATTTGGGGGACTGATCAGAATGTAATATTGAGGAATGAGAAATTGATGATGTAGGAAAGAGTGGAGACAGTCGCAGAACTGAGAATGTGAATAATTTGGAGGACGGCATGTTGGAAACGGTTCACGTTTTTGAAACAACATAAAAATGAATTCATCCATGAGAGTTGTTTTTTTGTTTGGTTGGGGGTTTTTTTTGTGAGTCAAGAAGATTCTGTGTTTTGCTTTTTCAACCGGCCTACAGCGACTGGCAGTTTTTCATGATTATTAGTTTCAATACTTTTTTCTCAGAGTCAAATCTCATGGTATTGACCATAGTTGCCCATTACCTACCTTCTCTTACACGTTTAAAGAACTCTTTTTCCTACAGAATGCACTTGAATGACTCTCCTCTGCAGCATTCCTTGATCTCCAGGGACAGATCCCACCTTTGAAAACTGTATACACCACGTTTGTTAACATGTTTTTGCCATATATCCCAAATTGACACTGTGAAGGAGCATAGATCATATTTGGCTAATGCTGGGTTTTTAAACCAGTTTTTAGGTTAAATGCCAATATTTAAAAAAGGAAAAGTCTGGGCTGGAGAGATGGCTCAGCAGTTAAGAGCACTGGCTCTTCATGCAGAAGACCCCAGTTCGAGTCCCAGCACCCACATGGCAGCCAGCAACTGTCTGTAACTCCACTTCCAGGGGACCTGACACCACCTTCTGTCATCTGTAGGCATTGCACAACACAGGTGCACATATATGCAGGCAATACACGCATACACATAAAATAAAATTAATAAGATGTTTTAAAAAATGAAAAGTCTACCCCCCCCAAAATGTAGGAAAATCTGAAATTCCTGAAGTGAACATTAGGTGTTACGCCACGCTCTGGTGTGGGTGTAATTGTCTGGAGAAAGCAGGGTGCTTGCTTCAGGTGGAGCGCAGGCTCACCACTCCCTGCCTGTTTACCCCGCATCTCATATTTTCTATCCAGCATAGTCTCTGTGGACACAGAGGCTGTGAGTTTGTGAGCTTGTTTTGGGCTCTGCAGAGAGGAACCTCAGCTGATTTGCTCAAGTGTTCACTAGCATCTAGTGCAGTACCAAACCTATGCTAGGAGCCCAGGCCGTGCTGTGAATTGAATTTCTGCGCTCTGCAGGGTTATCGTGGGCATCTGCATACCCCGTTCCCACAGTTTTTCTTCCCTGTACCTTATCCACCCCAAAACTCATCACTATGCCTGCTCTTGTTCCCCCTGCCTGAAGTGTTCCCTCTGCCTTCCCCTCTCCCCTCAACTGCCATTGTAGTGATCCAGTCCTGCCTCGTGTTGTTGAAGCACAGTCTGCCTCTAGTTGTTGAAGCGCGGTCCACTAGTCCAACTTCAGTACAGGATTATCTTCTCTGAGACTGTGCGCATGCTGAGGACAGGGAGCTATGTTCCATTTTTATCTTCTGCATCTGATAACAGAATGCCAAAAGTGGACGGTGGCTGGCCAAGCCTATCAGTCTAAATTCCCTTGTGCAGATAGGACGACAGCTTTTGTATTTCTTAGTTTACATTCTAATTTTTCATAGCCTCCTCTTGGACTGTGTTTCAGAGCAGGACAACAGCAGCACCCATCAGAAATGAGTGTGCTGGTGACTGCGCAGCACTATTTTATTAGCACTGACCATCAGGTTTCTGTTAGTCTATGGCTATTTGCTGAGTTCAAGGCATTTTACAAGTACCATTAACCTTATCGTGTCCAGTAATTGTAAAAGTAGGAAAAGCATACAAAGTATAATTGGAAAGATTTATGATCAGGATGAAACTCAGTGAGACAGTAGCCTGTGCATACGTACCTACTGGGCATCTGTGAAATGTCTGACTTGGACAAATGTGGTTTGGTCCACCAGAAAAAAAGTGTTTTATCCACATGAGCACGTAAAGAATGTGGATGTGGAAGGTCCTGTGTTCACACCTGCCTCACCAGAGAGCCAGGGCACATAATTAATTGGCCAGAAGCCTCACTGGGATTAATTAGCAGTTGTGTAGGAAGAACTTGGTGTAGTCTTACAGGAGGACCGTGTTCTAGAATGGCTACTTCCAAGATTCCCAGTTCAAGGGGTGCGGGCGGATCTCACAGTTTAGTAACAGGATTGGCTCTTAGCTCCTGTAGGGGCCTGCGTGTGCACATGCACACCTGGCTGGTGCCAGCAGAGGGCAGCAGTACGCTGTGCCTGTTCAATTTGCATTCCAGATTAGCAAATCTTTAAGGAGCTACAAAGAAAGAAACGGGTGTCCTAGGCCTAGGCTCATTCCTGGTCTCAGGTTGTCAACACTAGCCTGAGTAATAGCAAACCCAAGCCTTTTACACTACATTGAACTTTGGCTCCTCTGCCATAGAGAAATGAATACGCCACTAGGAGCTGCCGTCACAGACAGGAAGTAACTTTAATTAAATATTGTGAAAGTTGAAAAGTTTTTACAGCTTGAATTTTTGCAAAAAAAAAAAAAATTATAACAATCTCTACAGTAGTTAGGTTCTCTAACAATGGAACTGTACAGTGTGTGTTTATTCCAAAGGTTTTGATAAGAAGGTGAAAGGTTAGTAGATTGAGAGATGAGTTCATTAAGCTGCATCCTACATTGTGAGGCCGGGCATGGCAAACGCACATTCAGTCATCCAGAGGCAGGCCTCTTCCCCCCAAACTGAAATCTGAATTGGATTCTCTACCTCATTTTCTTCTTAAAGCCATATTCTGTATTAGGGGGATATATCTTAAAGGAACTTGGAAACAAAACATTTTAAGTAGAAGAAAGAGGTTCCTAGACCAGAATGCCTCTCCATCACCTAATCAGGACAAACAAAAGCAAGGTAACGTATAAAAAATGATACACATTTTTTAAAGGCTCTTTGGGCTTTCCAGAACAATTCTCACCACGTACGGCACATGGCTAACAGACTGGTGGCTTCTTTTGTCAGGGTCTGAGCTGAACAACCTTACCAGCTCCCTGCTCCTTCGTTTCTTTGCAGACAGTTAAGGGGCTCTCCAGACAAAATATGGCTTTAAACTGTAGACATCTTCAGGCCACCGCTTACCACAGGAATTCAGACCACCTTTCTGAGTACCGAGAAGCAATGCTAAACCTTGCTTACATTTTTCCAGTTTCTTTTTATTATTATTATCAGTCATTATTATTATTTCTCACCATGAAAAATCAGCTTTCCTCCCTTCCCTCCCTTTCCCCCAGCTCCCCTCCCCTCCCCTTCCCAATCCATAAAAATCGCACTCTGACAGTCTAGTGAAAACCATTGCGAAATCCATACGGGGCATGCACAGTTGCAGCATGTTGTTAATGATCGCTTGCTCTACTAGAAAAAGTTAACATTGTCTTAAGGTAACAAAACAGTTCTTTTGTGCTTTTCAATTTCTTTTTTTTTTTCCTTTTTCTTTTTTTCTTAGAATGTTAGTGATGACTGACAGTTCGGGTGCACAGTTACAATGTACAGGTGAAATGGATATGATTTGCATTGTTAAGGCATCCAATCTGCTGGTTTATATTTATGTGAAAGACAGAGGGAATATACAAGCAGACTAAAGAAAGAAAGTATGTTCATTGATTTCTATGAAGTTTCTCCCCCAAATTTAATGCACAAAATGCGTCACTCCAAAGGGAGAGATCCCATGCATATCAATAGAGTAAAAGAGCATTTTTTGTAAGCTTCCAAAGCAAAGGATACATTTTTTAAAATCTACAGAACTAAATACTACAAGAATAATATGCTACTATTTTTGCCATATATTGGAAAAAAACTTCTTAACTTACAAATAATACAAAAATAGACAATGGCTTTTGGGTGGAAATAAAAAAATTGAAGCATGGTTTAAAACAATACTAAAAATACCTATAAATGAATTGTTTAAAAATCACATTGAAACAGCTACTACAACCATAGGTGACCAAACGGATTACCACTTTTCACATAGCAAACATACGCAATAAAATAAACTGCAGGTGGAAGACAGGAAAAGCAATGTACAAATTCCAAAGATAAATACATTATTTATATGGATATTTTACAAAATCCCCATTAAAACAAACAGAAAAAGCCTTTTAGTTAACTTTGCAAGTATGTGCAAGCTAAAGGTAGTGAGCTTTTTATTTCTTTGCAAAATACGCAGTAGAATCTTTTTTGGGAGATTGAAAACCATCTTAAGACATTAAAATGTATAAATAGAACAACAACTTTGGCAAAAAAAAAATCACAGAAAAATCTACAGTATTTATAACTACATACAAAAACACAACGGCAAAGGAAAATCTACCAGGCTAACGCATCCTGGGAACCTCACTGAATCTTTGCTGTGAATTCTTAAGAACACTTCTCAGATGAGAGCAAAAATTCCCACAGAAAGCTAGGATTTAGAGGTCTCTGCCTTCTCGTCCTTTCCCTCGGTTTCCTTTCACCCTAACTCCAAATCACTTTACCTGTTGATTGAATCTATTATGTTACAACTGCTAAGGGTCTACTGTTAGAGGGCCCATTGTGATTGGGAACGTGAAAAGCCTGTGTAATTGCTTCTGTCAGTCTGCTTTGTTTCTGTTTGAGTTTTGGAGTCTTGGTGCAGAGTCAGCATATGGGATTCTAGGATGAATAAAGGTGAATCTTGTGAATGGTGGAGGGTGAGTGAGATTTTGGCTTGGTAAAACTGGAGGGCGTATGTGGAATTCTGTGCCTGGACCCTGTTCCATGACGTCCCAAAGGAGATTCTCACTCAGCGTGTGTACCACTCAGCTCTCGAGAGGCCATTGGCTTCAGAGGAGGTTGACGTAAGAAAAAGAATGAGATCAGGTTTGAAGATGCAGTTTGAACAATCTGTCTAGAGGCACTGGATTTTCTGAGTACGCGGGGAAAATGTGATCACTTCCATCACTTGGTAACTTTCCAGGCTGCATTTATTTACACAGTTACTTAAGACAACCATACAAAAGAGATAAATAAGCTTGCACTGCTAAGGGATGGCATGTTAAGTTAGATATTGAAAATGCACTGTCTGAGCTAATTACCATTTGATATGCTTTAAGGCGCAAAAGCCGACCCTTAGTTCTCTAAAAAATCTAACTGGCATTCCTATTCTGTCCCATACAAGCTTTTTTTTTTTTAACTTTTTTGTAAATATCACCACTTCATTCTCCCCTTACACAGCTTTAAAAACATCATAAATTAAAACATGGAATCTTATTTATAGTGGCCCTTGTGTGTAGCTTTATGGTTTATAAAAGACCAATGATTGCAGAGTTAAGCTTTAAAAAAAGAGAGCAAGAAAGAAAAAGAAAAAGTGGATTTGCTTTTATCAATACAGAATAAATATATCCCCCCAGATACTTGGGAGGGCACAACTTTAACCAACACCCTGCACCTGCAGATCCCCCTTTAAATTCAGTATTTGCAAGGTCAGCGATTTTATTTGTTTAAAAATCTGCAGTTATTGTGATTCCCCTTAAAAAGGCCTGAGTTAAAAGTTCCACTCTGGGACTTGTATCCGATTACTTTCATAGCAGAATCCAACCTCTCTTCATTAATAAAATTCTTCAAGGCAATTCTTTCACATGGGAGGAACAATCATGCCAGATATCGCTATGGAAAGAAAAGACAGAAGTCAGTGGTTTTGCAGCCAAACAGTCTCACCAAGGGGGGTGGGGGGAAGGAACTATGAAAAAACCCAAAACAAAACACACACATGACTATGTTGACTGAATATTAACCACAGATGTGCTCATGTCTTCCTGAAAATGAATTTTTGTCATAAAATATATATGCACCTTATTAAAAATTATATCAGTATATATATGTATATATGTATGTGTATATATATATATATATCTTTAGCAGAACATACAATCCTAAACATTCCTCCAAATCTGACTTCAATTTTAAAACATAACTGGAAAGCTGCATAGTTTGAATACCATTGGGAAAGTTGTAGCCTCCAACCTCACAAACCAGTGAGAATTTTCAATTTGTCATTCTGCCTCTTCTCCTCCTCACATCCCAAACATAAAATAAAGAAATGACCCACTGTAACTGCCAGCAGTTTCTGCAAAAACCCCACCAGCTCTCGCTGTGTTCTGTATTAGCACAAAAATTGAGCAATACAGCAGCCATCCATGGGCCTGCCCTCCAGCCCTAGCAGGAGAAGACTATCCCAGCCCCACAGACATTGTTCACTGGGAAAATGAAGTTGGAAGACGGCATAGAGTTGAAAGAGAGAACACTTTTGCATGAAACTGCAGAATAACTTTCCTACTAAGGCTTTTCTTGGGATTTCTGGAATGATCTAAATATAATCCCTAGGAAATGGCAATCCAGGGAAGCTGTGTGAAATTCTGGAAAAAGGGAAGGCCTGCTTGGTGTTAACTCAGATTCACTCAAAGGCTGTAGAGTTAGTAGGCTGCAGAGTGGTGTTTAGAAAGCCCCACCTCCGCCCTTCCCGGACCTGGTTACTTGCCTCCCTGATCCTCAGCCTCCTTGGCTAGAACATGCAGTGAATTCCAGCACTCTAGAGGGACTGGAGATTCAAATATAATACATATGGATGCACTGAGCCTGAGATCAGCTCCTAAGAAGGACCAAAAGCAGGCGAACCCATGGCTTGTGATGTTCAGCTTGGCTTGGTGACCCTGGGTTCACTGCTCAACATTTCTGATGTATATTTCCCCATATAGCAAATCAGCACCATTTCATATGACACACTTCACATGGAGGGTGTGAGAAATAGGGGATCCTGTAGTAAAATCAAGACAGTGTGCAGTGTGGAAAGATAGCAAGACGAGAGAGATGCTTACATTAGAACTTAGAACATCCATCTTTGGCTACTAATAACAGCACAGAGAAAAAATCATTGCTTTCTTTTTATTGACAAGTCTAAACTTAAATGAAGGTTCTTTTTAGTGATTAGTGATTTGAGAAACTGGCCTTTTCCTTTACACCATCATGTCTGGGAAAATGTGCCATTTTTTTAAGTGAACCCCACTACCACAAAGGGACAGGAGGAGGCCAGGCAGGGCTCTGTGCCCTAAAGTCCCCCATGTTCCTCCTGCTGCCCCTCCCCCACCCCTGACATTTTAGATTCAATTAAAAGAAAACCCAAAAGTCTTTTGCCAAACACTTTTTCCGTTAATTTTTAAACCCATCTGTATTCGCAAGGAAATTCAATCCACATGTTTCTGATTCATTTACACGTAAATCATTCAAATGTTGTTTTGCAAGAGCCCTTTTGCAGTCCAAAGCTCCTGGAGTCCTTTCCTAAACCCTCATAAGCCTTTCTCTCTTAGAAACAGGAAGCTGTCTTTTGCCAAATGCAGACCAACTTAAGCCCCCCACCCTCAGTCCCCAATACTTGGGATCAGTTGGAAACGCAGTTCCCTTAAGATCCAAGTGAGCCCTAGATTTCACTGAACCCAAGAGCTTAGTGTTTAAAGCCCAGCCTTAACTTGAGAGTTCAGATGCTACAGCCAGAGCAAGGAGGGGTGGTGGGAAGTTCCCCTCAGTGTGACAACTCAGTGGCTTTGCATCCCTAAGGTCATTACATCCAGGCTCTAGGCGGGTCCAGCACCCCTATTACAGATAGTAGGAATGTGAAACCGGTGGTTAAAACAGCTAGGCTTTTTTGTCTTTCACAGAAATCTATACCATGTGTTTGGTGTTGAAGGGTGGTCGGTGTTGTGGAACAGCTCAGGCAGTGTCATGATTTAAAGCTAAGTAGAAAGCTGACACACTTCCTGTTATTTTGGTCCCTGGATTTAGTCAACCTGTATCAGCTGGACCCTGAAAACATCCCATTTAGATAGCTTGAATTTAAAAAAGTCTAAGCGATGTTTTGGTACCTGAGCAATTTGTTAGATTAATTGGATTAAGCCTCCATATAGGGCTACATTAGAAGTTCCCTGCCAAGTTCACCCGCTGTGCCAATGCACTTCTCTACTGGGGACTTGTAAACCCCACAGCCTCCAGAGCCCAGTTGGCACTTGCATGAGCAGAGTCCCCTGGATAGGGATAGAGGGGCTGTGGCTGAAAACATGCTCTCTGTGCAGGGACTACTGTACTGGAATGAGCCCTCGCAGCCCCCCAACAGGGTTTCTGAATTCTCTGAAGAGAAGCTAGAGTTGTAAACTTTTTAAAGCATGAAGTTTCTCAGCTTATATATGTTAGCAAATAGCTGGTATTAAAAACAACATACCTGAGGGGGTCCTACAGGGTAGACTTGGCCCACCAGCTCATATAATGTCAGAGTCTAGCACAGCTATGTCACCCATCATACAAGGCCCACATGTGCTTACATCCCGAACTTTTATATAGCATCATGGAATTATTGCATCCTAAATCTCACCCAGGATATCTTATAAGTCAGAAACCACAAAAGATGACTGTTGAGGCCTCTGAGCCCGGGCACCTCAAAAGAGGCCTTTTCATAAAGAAACCCATTGCATGACTGCCATGACTATCCTGGATGTAAGAGCTGTTTTCCTATGTGTGCAGCAATCTGAAAATTATGTGGGTGAAAGGGATGGGTATCGGAGGTTTGGAATGTTCCAGAGATGCTGCTGGTATGCTGACTTGCCCAAGTAGGACCCAAGCAGATTCTCATGAGACACCACACTCCCAACACTGAGTGCCAAGACATCACCAGACCACGGTGGCACTGCCATGGTCCCCAGGAGTTGGTGGTCATATTTCTCGGTGGAAATCCAAAAAGCTATTGGTTTGAAAAACAATACATTTTGCTTTACAGTTTCCACATTTTGGTAAGAACTAAAAATGGAAAGTTTTGCAGATGAAGCACCCCAGGTATAAGAATCACAAGCTTATTAGGTGTGGGGGTGGGGTAAGATTGTCCACAAACTGAGTATGTCCATGAAGAAAAGCACAGTTGCACAGGGTTTGGCACTGAATTGCATGCTGTCTGAGGTCAAGAGGGGTCTGAATATCAATAAAATATGAGAGAGAGAGGGGGGGGG